TTTCCACCCCTCCACATGGGTTGGTCAAATCGTTCTAGAGCCCTAATGCTTGTGGCACCTTATCGGTACTTTAGGGAGACAACTCAAATAGCCGAAGCTACCCCCATAGGAGTGCTCTCCTGCATTCGTCCTGGGTACACTATAGTGAAACCCAAGAGTCATTATGCTGCTGCGTGGGAGGCTCTGGTCATAACGCCATCACCCTTTATGGGAACTTGGCCACCAGCCCCAGAAGGTCATAAATGATCCAGACCCCCAAGACTGTTGTTGCCTGGCGGGACCACAAAGAGGTGTCCCAACTCATGCCTGGCCCATGATGTGTCCCCACCAAGACACAGCCATGGTTCGGCCATCCTCACTGAGGATGGCGTAATTACCACCCATAACATGTGACAAAAACGTCAGTTACCCCGGGATCATACCCAGGCCACCTATTAAGGTGGTAAAACACTGAGTTGCCTTGTCCAGATCATTCAGTTCTTTTATTCTTAAGTTCAAGTTTATGTGTTCTTCTGTGTATGTACAAAAGCTATCCCAATTGGGTTTTTGGGTGTTAAGTGGGAGCATGGTAGCATAGTTGGTTGAGGAACTATGCTACAAGCCAGAAGGTCGCAGGTTCGAATTCCAATGAGGTGGACTTTTTTCAATTTACTTAATTCTTCTAGCTGCACTATGGCCCTGGGGTTGACTCAGACCCTAACAGAAATGAGTACCAGGAATATTCTTGGGGATAAAGGGCGGCGGGCACATAGGGCTGACAACCTTACCGCCATCTATGAGCCAAGGGCCGCGCCATAGCTCAAGTGGTTAGTTGCTGGCTTCCCATCACAGCGGCCTGGGTTCGATCCCGGGTCTGGTCAAGTGGGATTTGTGGTGGACAAAGTGGTGCTGGGGCAGGTTTTCTCCAAGTACTTCGGTTTCCCCTGCCAATCTTCATTACACCAGTTGCTCCACAATCACCCTCACCTATCATCTGGGGCTGGTACAATAGGCCAGAAGTGGCTGCAGTACAAGGGACTTAGTCCCACCCCACGAGCGATAAAAAAAATCTATGAGCAAATTGTCTAGATCAGCGGTTCTCAACCTTTATGAGACCGCCGCCCAGTAAGTTCTTTTTTTATAAGACGAGGGTCCAGTCCCAACAAATTTACTCGTAAATACCTTTCCAATTTTGTTAAAGTTCATGCATTAAGCTAATGTAATATTAGTAATTAATTATGGCATAATCATAAAGAGTATTAGTACACTTATGTATATGGTGTGGCATGTTGACAAACATAAAATTACATTTAAATTAGCTATCAATCACTGGACTAATGGAATCTTGTAGCATTTTGTAGTTTCCTCAGACCAACATCATTAAATTAATTTGTGCTAATTTTCATTGACATATCCCATGCTGATCACCAAAAACTTATGTTATTCAGCGTAAAATTGATTATTGTATTATTAAATTGATTCTAATGATGTTGGTTTGAAAAAGACGGCAGTTAGAAAAATATTTATGCATTGTAACTCACCATAGAAGTTAGCTGAGTAGGGGAAGAAGCAGAAGGATGTCAACTTGCTGGCGAAACACTTATTATCACATACACATGCCAAATAATTATATATGTAAGGTATATAATTTGATAAATAAAAATGTTAGAATGTCTCAATTCTAAACACTACTTCCAACACTAATTAATATTTTGATTTTAAAGATGCAGCACTTCAACACAGGAATTATAAGTTATTGGAAAGTTAAACTTAGTTTCTTTTATCACAACTGAGTTTGGAAGGTTTTAATTAGGCTAGTGAGACTTCTCTTTCTGTTTTCCGTCCATTAGCTTATTAATTCTGGGATGAATTGAAGTGAGAGCCAAACGGAGACAGTCAGAAAGTTGCAGGCAGTTCCTCTGTTTCGTTTTAAGCACAGTCATGGCAGAAAATTCAGTTTCACATAGATATGTGGTGGAAAAACAAAGAACAAACCTCACTGCTATTTGATGTAAATTTGGATATTCATTTTTCATTCTTATCCAGAATTTTGAATTACTTGTAGTATTAAAAGTAGTTTCCAGTCCTTTGTCCAATGATAATTCAAAAAGTTAAGGGTTTTTTCACGGGAAAGGGTTGTCTCTTTGTGTTCAACAAAAGGGTTCTCAATCCACATATTTTGCCTCAGGGGATCCTCATGTTCAAACGACAACAACAACATCTTCAAGTGGGCTGCAGTAATATCTGAAACTGAAGTGTGTGAATATAAATCATCTGCTTCCATAATATAATCTGAGTATGACTGAAACATTTCATTGTTTCCTTCTGCAGTCATATTAAGCCAGAGTTTGAGTTTCGTTTTGAATGATTTGATCTTGTTCCATGCATTAAATATTGTTGTATCTGAACCTTGAAGTTTTAAATTCAACTTGTTCGTGTAAGAAAGTATGTCGCTGAGATACGCCAGCCTGGCTACCCATTTCTTATCCAGGAAATAATGGGACAGGTTACTTTTGTTATCAATTAGAAAGAGCTTGACTTCCTTTTGGAGTTCATATAACCTCTTGAGAACTTTACCACGGGACAACCAACGAACTTCCGAATGGAAAAGAAGATTTTGCTGATCAGAGCCCATTTCATCGCACAATGCTTTTAACAGTCTTGTATTTAAAGCACTGTTTTTTATATAATTAATAATCTTAACAGATTGAGACAGGAATTCATTAAGCTCAAGTGCCATTTTTTGGAAGGCCAGGTTTTGCCTATGATTGTAGCAATGTGTTGACACTTAAGTTATTGCCCACCATATCCTTATCCATAGTGACCAAACCTGAATTTCTACCTGTAAGACAGGCAGCGCCATCAGTGCAAACTCCAACGCAGTTCTTCCATTCGAGACCTCTCTCTTCAATGAAACCATTTAAGACTTCGAAAATTTCACTGCTTGTAGTGTGCATAAGTAATTCAGAAACACTTAAAATATCTTCCTTCATGTCACTCTCATCATGGTCAATATATTGTACATACATAAGTAAAATGCTGCTGTTCTAAATATCTGTAGATTCGTCCAGTTGTAATGCAAGCAATTTCTTTTTTTTTTTATTTTTTTCAGTGACTTGAGTTTCTGTATCTTCTGCCATATCAGATATCCGCCTACCAACTGTATCATTCGACAGTGGGATGTCTTTTATTTGACTTGCCACAGACTGGCCTAATACTTCATTACAGGCAGCAATCAAAGAAGGCTTATGAGTTCTTCCCCAGTGGAATATGGTTTTTTTACATTTAGCTATCTTTAGTGATATTAAATAGGATGCCATCAGAAGTGAAGTGTCAGTGGTTGAAGCCTGGTAAATAATTTTCTTTTCTACTTTAAGTTCATCTCTTTTACACATAAAGAATTCAATGGGTTTGTTGACTAGATTGGAATGTCTTGTGTTGAGATATTGGGTAAGTCGCGATGGCTTCATAGCATATTAGCACAAATGACACGTTGAGGTCGTGGCAATTGGTCGGTGTTAGGGCATTGTATGAAACCAAATTTTAAGTAGCTGTCCATGTACTTACAAATTGATGCAGAATTTTTCTTCTGTGTGCTGGTGGTTTTCCCTTCATTTTGTACATCCTGGAGATTGCTATGTAGGCTTGAGGTGGATGAATCACTATTTACTTGTTGCATCACAAACACCTTCAGTACAAGATTTCTTAACACCAAAATTAAACAAAGTCCCCTGTCTCTTATTCATATTAAAATTTAAATCACTCAGGTTTCGAAACAAGCACTTACACACTGCAATGCGAACTTTTGAAGAAACAGTATTCAGTATTACTAGATTTGAGAACCGGATACAGACTGCCTTGATCTTCAATTTCAGTGGAAACATTTTCTTTATATTTCCTTGCTGATTAGTCACTGACATTAGCAATACAGATGTTATTTCGCTTGGTTTTGAGAACAGAGGGTATGCCGCCCATTGTTGTAATCAGCTTGCAGGCAATTTTTATGACTGGTCATAAACATCGGTATTGCCTTTCCCGAATGTTGAAAGATTTGGATGTCTGAAAATTCCTGATCATTCATGAATACTTCCATGTTTAAAAGTATGTGGCTTGGTCCCTGACATTTGCTACACAGATTTAGGTGTTCTGTGTCTGAGCTTCTTGGCACAAATATTATTCTCCTCAGAATATTTCCACTATAAAATATTTATTCATGAAAAATGACAAATTCCAGAAGAGTGTCTCATGGCCCAGTATAATTGATGCCAGGTCCCACTACTGGGCTGCGGCCTGGCAGTTGAGAAGCACTGGTCTAGATAATGTGGGAACCTCAACATCTCACAACCCTATGGGCCTCCACAGCCTGTTAGAAGGATACCTTTACTTTCCTTTAAGTGTTGGAGTAGTTGATTTACTTATTGTATGTGTGCTCATAGTTGCAATTAGTGAAGAATGGTCTGACAGTAGCTCAAAGCTGGATTTAACTTGCATGTAGTTTGACATTATGCTGTGGAACACAAAGAAGTCCAACAAGTCTGGCAACTTATTTGGGTCTGTTGACCAGTACGTCAGTTTGCCGGTGCTGAGATGTTTACAGTTTTGTCTGTAAGAGATTTTGTTCTTTTGGTGTTATAAGTCTCACTCCCCATTCCTTATGTTTAGCGTTCCAGTCTCCACCTGTCAGGAATTTAGATTCCAGTGACTGGAAGAACACTATGTACTCTTCAGCATGTGTAGCATGCCTGAGAGGACAGTAGATCACAGAGATTGCAAAAAGCCATGGGTTAGCATCAACTTGAATATTGGCAGCTTGTATTTTGTCTGACTGGTGGTGTAGTAGTTCATGGTGAGTGATTACACTTTGAATTATAGCAGCTGCACCCTCATGTGCAGTGTCATCTGGGTGAGGAATGATTCCATGGTGAGGTAATTACATGTCATTGCTGTTCTGTATGTTCTGTTGGTATATTACTTGTGTATATCATTTTCCTTACCGTTTTGAAATTTTGTGTATGTTACAGTTATTAGACTTATTTGACAGTGAAGACCCTCGGGAGCGTGATTTCCTTAAGACTGTTCTGCATCGCATCTATGGAAAATTCCTGGGGCTACGTGCTTTCATACGCAAACAAATAAATAACATCTTCCTTAGGTTAGTAGAATTTCCCATGGTAATTACTTATATGCAGACGTATAATGGGAAAATAAACTCATTGTCTCATTTTACATAATTTGCATGTTTAGCTATATATCTGTAGCAGCATTATAACATAATTTAATTGTATTCATGCTAAATGTTTAAGCTGAGAGAGAAGACGCATTGGATTTTGAAAGATGTTTTTAATTGTTTTATTTCATATATATAATTGTGCTGTATTAATTAATGCTTCAGCATTGTTGACATGTGTTTAAACTCTTTGCATCTGATAAAATACGATTTCTAATTTTTAGGTTTGTATATGAGACAGAGCATTTTAATGGTGTTGGAGAGTTACTGGAAATATTAGGAAGGTGAGTCAGACTTCTTAACTGTAATCCTCGCTAGAGCCAATCACATAACATTTTACTTTCTTTAATATCAGACAAATACGGTTCATAATGAAGAAAATGGAGCACAGATTTTATTTGACAGCAGTGTCAGTCCGTAAAAATTGATGTTTGGAAGGCAAGGGGACAAGCTACCACACTTTGTCATATGACTTAATGTAACTGTAACCCCTGATTGTCAGTTCAACTAAAAGATTTAGAAAAGCCATACTGTTGACATGAATTACTGTATTAATGGTCAATTAAGTGTTACCGCTCACTCTCCCTTTGGTTTCTGTTGTTGTGTGAGGGTTCCAGTAGGCAGTGAAATTCTTTCTCGGGGTCGTTATACGGGTCTTGGATCATGAGACAAAGGGTAATAATATTACGCCGACACACATTACAATTACTCACTGTTTAATATATTATATGCAGAAACACGTCTATCCGTAGGAATGACCGAATGAGAACTCCTCTAGAATCTCAGACTATATCGTTGAGTTTTGGGACATTAATTCTCCCACCCTCGCAGATATATTCCATCATTGCTTCTGATTCGATCATTCAAAAGGAAGGCGGTATTACAAGTTTAAACCCTCCAATACCCTTCTTACAAATTATATCTTCGAAGCCGCTGGTCCAGCGATATTCTCAACGATTCCTGAGACCTCGCTAGCCTGCAGCTGCAAAGTGTAATATTACAAACGCTACGCGGCATCCTTTACTCATAAGATATATATATTTGCTTCACGTAACAGCGACACTATGGCGCCACTATTACGTGCCACAGGGATATAAGTATCAGTTGTTTATAAGCTGCTTACTCAAAGTCTTGCTCTTAATATTTCAATTTAAGCACTAAATTAAGTTGGACGACTTCATAAGCTAGATTGGCTTAGTTCTAGACTTACATAGAGCTAAACACTACCATGTACTTCATTAGATTATTTTATTATTATATTTAGAATCTTCAGTAATTTCATCATAGCATCTCTTTAGTGATCTGCATCATGATCATTCAGTCTTTAAGATGTGGTACCATTGTCTCTATTTGGAGCTGTCCATCTCCATACTTGACTCATACACTGTCTAAGGTTATCCATTTTTGCATTGGGTGTGCTGCATTATCAGTCATATAAGTTTTTTGGTTTGATGGTGTTGATTCAGATTGTGGTCTTCTGGTTGTGACACTTAACCTAGTCTTGTAGGCAAAAGCAACTGATTATCAGGAAGCGCAGGGAATTGTACATTGGATAAACCATATGGACCCGGTTAATGGACACTGTTGCATCTGACTGGAGAAGTCAGGTGCTGCAGAACACAGCATTTACCTGAGTCAATGAGGCCTGCTCTTCAATATCAGCATCCTGCCCCACCCCACCAAAAATAAAGGTACCGGGGCCAGCTAAACGGGAAAGCAATGGAGATTGATCTGTACAATAACAGCATGAAGGGGGATAGGTTCAGCCTGCACAGGTTACAGAAGCCTCATATCCAGTTCCTGAAGGATAGAAGAAGAGGGTTCTCCTCTGAGATGATGAGACTCCCCACCCAGGCCCTTGGAGGACAGCAACTTTTCACTAGTCATTTCCTTCCAGCTGTGATGAACATTTGTGGTTCCTGAAAGGTCGATTTCCTGCCCAGTGTTCCTATTGACCCAGACTAAACTCCATATCCCACCCCCTTGCATGGATCTGAATGACCATATTCCATGCAACCTGTCTGTATAACCCATTTGACTCCTCTTGCTATATACTTCAAGCCTAAAGATGGAGGCAGTGTATTCCCCTGAAATGTTGGTAACTGCCTGCAGGAATACACAGTATCACAGCCCATAAGACCACAGTCTTAATGTTGTTAGCTAATCGTTTGACTTGAATGAGGCAATTACACACACACATGGAAGAACACATTCTTAGTCTACAGATTGCAATGTTCTGTTTGCCCACTGCACACCTAATAATAATAATGCAGATAAAAGAAGTTAATTTTTGTGGTTTCAGCATTATCAACGGCTTTGCTCTACCGCTGAAGTCAGAACACAAGCAATTCCTCGTAAAGGTTCTGTTGCCACTGCACAAAGTTAAATGTTTGTCATTGTACCATGCACAGCTGGCATACTGTGTGGTTCAGTTCCTTGAAAAGGATGCCACGCTAACTGAACCTGTGGTTAAAGGGCTACTCAAGTTCTGGCCTAAAACGTGCAGTCAAAAAGAGGTAAAATAAACATTAGAATAGTTATTGTCAGCCGAGGTAAATAAGGCACTATTACAAGTTACTTAAGTAGTAAACAAATTGTAATTGTATCACTAGACATTTACTAGAGGTGGCATAGTTTATTTTACAGTCGTTACAAAGTGCAGCTTTTGCAGTATACCAAGTAAGTTTACATGTCATATAAGCATGAGCACTGACTGTGTAATGTGGGTATCTTTAGCTTAGTTATAAATGGATTCAGAGCACGTGACAGTGAAATTACAAATTTGTAATATTAAGAAAGGCCTGAAACCACTTGTAGATTTTGCTGTTTCGATCTTTTAGTCCATAAGGAATGTTATAGAAGTATAAAATGTGCCAGAGATGCCAGATGGTGATAAAGACTTGCAAAATATTGTTTCTTAACTACATAGAGGGGTGTATTTAGAGGGGGGATTCACAAGTTATTGTACTGCAGCTGCTTATTTTTGTGCTAGTGTTCTCGATCCAGTATGCTGCAATCCTTGTTACCACCATCCTGAATGTAATCCACGAAGAAGCAGTTGTGACAGTTGAATTTCTGTGAATTAATAAGATATTTTCTGTGCTATATGTGCTGGTTCCATGGCCTTCCTGCTTGTTAAATTGAAAATTCACAAAATATGATATGCATATTCTTTCAGGTGATGTTCCTTGGTGAGATTGAAGAAATTTTAGATGTAATTGAACCATCACAGTTTGCCAAAATTCAGGAACCGTTGTTCAGACAAATTTCAAGATGTGTCTCTAGTCCTCACTTTCAGGTATGGATTTATGGTGATACAATAAGATGTGCTTTCTCGAAACCTTACTCATATTTGGTTCACATTTGTATGTGAGTATGAAGTGGAAATAATATTGTATTTTGCAGTTTTCTTATAAGAAAATGCAAGCAGCAATTGGGGTGCAGCGTTTTAATAATAAGGTTGTGCCAGTTCAGTCCAGATGCTTCATATATAATTTTAGTTTTCATTTTTATAATTTATTTATATCAGTGATAGGCAGACTTCTGTTCAGTTAGCTGTAAGATGTCTGAATCTTCTTAAGGCACCTAACAGATTCAGAAAGGGCCCTTGCTGATTTAAGAAACGCATTAGAATGGAGGAAAGTGTTTATAAACCACCTGGAGTGGCGTAAATGTAACCATGCCTTCCGAAACTCATAAGGGTGCAAATGTTATCACAGGATAATGTAATATGTCAGGTGTCCAGATGTGGACTTGGGGAGTGTATCTTTTATTTAGAATTGACGACTTGAGGTCAAAGTGAAGAAATTACAAGTGGTTCATGTATCCACCCACTGTAGGTTTCTAACCAATTAGGAAGCAGTTTTAGTTTGACCAGAGGGGTGATTATACATTTCATGTAAGAATGAAGGTAAGTAACTGGGAAATTTTTAGGCAGTTGAGTTGTAGGCAGTAAGGGTGACAGAAGCTCATTGGGCGGACACTCTTCATATCCAATGGGTACCAGGGGCTCTTCCTCAGGGGTGAAGTGGCCAGGGCAGGAATCTGGCCACTCACCTCCAACTAGTGCTGAGGTCAAGGAAGTTGAGCCATGTCCCTCCCCGTGTGGGTCGAGAACCACACTCAGCTACCACTTGGGGCCGTGTCCCTCGACCCCGTGTGGTTCGAGAACCACACTCGGCTACCCGTTTGGGCCGTGTCCCTTGACCCCGTGGGTAGAGAACCCCGTTCTTTTACCCACTCTGACCTGTGAACCCCTGCTCAATATGGGTAAGGGACAGGCTCATAAGAAACGACTTGCTTGTGGCGTGATGCACTATGCCTCCCTAGGATGGTGTAAGGGATCTCGGGGGAGGAAAACCACAGTCGGGACGATGGGCCATGCCAGATGGAGCCGCTAGTCAGAAGCTGGTATGGAACATATGGCACAAGTACACATAAACACAACTGGCGTCCTCAAACATATAAATAAATATATATTGATAACATATGTATACAAATGGACTCTGCCTGAGGGGCAGGGACTGGTCAGAACGTGTGATAAATGATTGATACAGAACTACACTGTGCCTAGCCGCACAGAACTCAAGTCAGGCATGCCTCATGGAATCTTTCTACTTCTCCGGTACAAGCATGTACTTAGGCAAGCCTTGAGGGCACAAGGAAATATAAACAGCTTACATACACACCTGAGGGGCGATCTGCTGTTTAGCACGACCTTAGACAAAACCAATATTATCCTGCGCCACATGGCGTCAATAAATCAAACCAAAAAGCGCCTTGCGGCGTATATTACCTTAGTAAGTCACTTACTTGAATATACTTCTTGAATATACAAACTCAAAGATTCACCTCATGACTGATCCACCCTTGACCATGTCGTGAGGGCACTCTTCCCTCTTCGATCACTGCTGCGGGCCGAAACCAAATTTCTAACAGAATCAATTCAACCTTCTGAAACCAAATTTAGACGCAGTGATGTTTCCTTGCTGAGGTGAACGGGAAGAGAGCATGAGACATTCACTTTTACTAACCAGGAAACTTCTGTCTAAGTCCAGGAGCGGGGGGACTAGGTCAGCTGACCTGACATCAGCCAAAGTAAATCTATACATCCATGCTCCCATACGTCTTCTTGACATAGTGCTTAATTAGTTAAACAAGGGGACAACTTTACTTTTACTTTACTAACAGATGCCATTGTTGCAGTAATGAGTTTTGGCCCAAAGTGTCGTGATGGGTACGAGTTTTGATTAATGCTAAATAAAGCAACTATTTAGAAAGATCGAAGTGTCCCAAAGTACGTATAGTAGATCCTGAGAAATATAATTATATATATTCGTATACCCCCCTCGTTGGTGAGGGGGTTTGAGTATGCCAAGGACCCTGAGAGCTATACCAGCGGTATTGTAGCTACTGGCAGGGCCTCCCTGGCTGGACAGGTCAAAGGGTAGGAATCAGAGAAAGAGAGACCAAAAACCAGAAACTGATGCTGGAAGCAGCGACTTGAAGCACAGAGCAAATGATGCTCGAGATAGTTCAAGTTCATATAGCAACAGGTGTGATCAGAGTGGTTTGAACGGCTGTTATACTGCAATGTGGAAAGCAAATGGAAAAACTACCACATTATCACTTTTCCTGGATAGTCTCTTTCCAAAAACAGAGATACCATGTATGCAACCAGAAGACGAAAAAGATGTAAGAAGATGCTGGATGACTTTGGGGACAGAAGAGGATATTTTATTTGAAGGAGAAAGCTCTAGATCGCATTAAGTGGAGGAACTGTTTTGGAAGAGACTGAGGACCTGTCATATGACAGATTACTGATGAATAAATATATAGTTTTCAAAATATAGTTTTTCATCTTCACCTTTTTAAATTCTGCTATAACTACAAGTTATAGAATAAATTTGTGAGGTACTTTGAAACAGCAGTCTGTTTTCGTAAATAGTGCAAAGACTATAATAAGCTTTTAATGCATTACCAAGTTTTGTTCAGACTTTTGTATTTCAGTCCCTACCTACCTTCAAACTAAAGTAGCCGGGGTAGTGTAGTTGGTAATAGCGACTAGCTACAGGCTAGATGACAGAGGGGCCGGTGTTCAAGTCCCAGTAGGATGAAGAATTTTCTCTTCTCCAAATTGTCCAGCCTGACTCTGGGGTCCACCCAACCTCCTATCCAATCGGTACCAGGGGCTTGTTCCCCGTAGGTAAAGCGGTAGGGCCATGAAGCTGACCACTCACCTCCAGCTAGTGCCTAGTTCAAGAAAATGTGGATCTATACATCCACTCCGTTATACTCCTTCATTGCATGCTTAATTTGTTGAGCGTAAGGACAACTTTACCATTTACCTACTTTCAAACTTGATTACCTAAACATGATGTTTTCTTTTCTACATCCACAAAGCTCATATGTGCATTGTTGTCTTCAGTGGCTTTATACCGAGACACAAGGTAAAAATGTTTTATAAATAAATAATTGACAATCTGACACTGACTTTCTGACTCATAATTCACTGCTGGAAACCAGTCCTTGAAAATGACCCACTTCCTTGCAGGCTCAAGTAGCACTGATCTGCATGCACAGAGGAATATTTACTTCTCAGTTCTCAAAACAAAGCTGTGCTCTGTTTGGCTGACCTGGTTATAAACAGTCATATCTACACATAAATAATATGGAAACCAATACTGTGATAAACGATTTCATTGTTCTGAGCTAATGAATGAACCACTGGCTTGACCTTGAGTGGTTTTGTTGTGTTTTCAACCTGAAGATCATACTGTCAGCACTCCCAAAGAGAGCACATGTACTGGTGTACTGCATGCACTGTGTACTGCATTAGATAAATCTAACATTCGGCCACAGCAGTGTTACTTGCTGACAGAAGTATCTAACATTCATATGTTAAAGGTTGTGATGAATCCACACCCAAACAATCTAATCCTAATAAAATTGTTTTGCTTCTTTAGGTGGCTGAACGTGCACTGTACTTCTGGAATAATGAGTACATAATGAGCCTGATTGAGGAAAACAACCATGTGATCATGCCAATAATGTTCCCAGCTCTGTACCGCATCAGCAAAGAGCACTGGAACCAAACAATTGTCGCTCTTGTGTACAATGTGCTCAAAACCTTCATGGAGATGAACAGTAAGCTTTTTGATGAGCTCACAGCTTCTTACAAGGCTGAGAGACAAAAGTAAGTAGCCATGTTGAAGTAAATCATGGACGTAAGTAGCCATGTTTTGCAAATTGTATAGCATATTTGTTGTCAGGAGAAATGACCAGTATGCTATGTTGTGGTTCTTTTCTTCATAGGTTAGGTAACTTAATTAAGTCTGCCCCTGCCAGTCAATCCGAATACGTTGGACTTCGGACTGTCTCTCACATGTTCTGTTTATAAGTATTGTTCATCTTCTTCCTCTGGCTTTATGGCCCTTTAATTTACTCTTAGCCTCCCTTAGAATTACCATCCATTCTTTTCTGTCTTGATCTTTTAGTTTCCTTATTTTTACACCTGAGGGTTTTGTGTCATCTAATCATCTCAGTTTGAATCTTCTAACTCCTCATCTTCTGCCTGGTTTAATGTTGTGTATCATGTTTAGTGTGAGTATATTCCATTCTGATAACATCCCAACCATTCCGATCTTCTAATTTTGATTTCACTTACAGTATCTCTTAACTTACATGAATTTTGTAGTTCTAGATAGCTCGTTGTTCTCCATGCTCCTTGTTCACATTTTTATCCGTAAATTTTCCTTAAAATCTTCCCTTCTCATGCCATCAGAGAGAATTCCATTATCCCTGTGAGTGTCCAAGTTTCACTGCCACATAGTGTAATTGGTCTTATGACAGTTTTCCATGTTCTTATTTTCATGCTCGCTCTTATGTACAGAAACTGAGGACTGATAGGGGAGTTTTTTTTTGTGTGGCAGTGTGTGACTAGCAGTGTACTGTGAGGGCAGAGAGCAGAAAGTTCTTGTGTGCAGAGTGGGCAGTGTGTGCCGACAGAAGATAGTGGTTGAACTGGACAGAGAGATGGATGGTTCTACATTCAGATAGTAATAAGGTGACATCGGAAGCATATACCCTCAAGGATTATGAGTACTACCGAGACCGTTTACAGGAGACCCTGGATCAACTACTTTCATTGGACAGTGATATCCAGGATCTTCTAGAGGACAAGGAGTACACGACTGATGTGGAGGAGGCTGAAGATTACATCGACTTAGCCAAGCGAGCACTGCTGAAGGCCAAGCGGGAGGTAGAGAACCGACTCGTCTTGACAGGAGAGAAGCCTAACTTCGCAGAAGAGCCCTCAGCTAGCGCACTTGGTCAAATTACCCCCGATAAAACTCGAGCCGTTTGCAGAAGATGTGGAAACATGGGCACGGTTCTGGGAGCAGTTTGAATCTTCCGTCGATAAGGACCCCACTCTGCCAGCCATACACAAACACTTATTCCTCAGAGGATATTTGGAAGGTGAACCGAAGATGCTAGTGGATGGCATTGCCGTGACTGCTAACATGTATGGAGAAACTAAGAAAATTCTCCACGCTTGCTATGGCGACAAAAAATCGCATTATACAGGCCCATTTGGACTACTTAGAAGACATTGAACCAATTGAGTCCCCTTCTGTGGAGGTGCTGAATGTGATGTAAGTTGAATGCAGTCATCGCATCCAGGATCTACATGCACTTGGTGAAGATGTCAATGGATATGGTCGGGTAATGACTCCGAAGATACTCCGTGTATTTCCAGGCGGTATCTGCTGGTGCTGGCTTATCCACGTGAAACGCGAGGGATACTCTGAAGGAGACATCATCAAGTTAATGGAATTCCTCGGTGAAGAAGTGGACGGGGCCCTTACTACACAGAAGATACGTGGGGAGACTTCACCTACGTCTACCTTCATTCCTATGGTAGCAGCTCTTCATGTCGATTCCAAGTCTCGGAAGCCAAAAGTCAAAAGGCCAAGAGAACCATTTTGCATGTTTCGCGAACTTTATGGCCATTGGGCCCAAGATTGCAAAAGAGTGACGCATGTGAAGAAGCACACAGAGAAACTAAAGGCCACCAATCGATGCTTTCTTTGTCGTAATTGTGGCCACCATGCTCGCGTTTGTGCTAAGAAAGACAAAGTGTTCTGCTCAAGGTGCAAGAAAGGATACCACCGGTCTGTTTTCATGGACCCGGAATGGACTGCATGTCAGACAAGACTGCCAAGCTCCGCTTCGGTAGGTGTGGTGGGCGTCCCATCAACAGGGTTGACTCACCTGCAAACGGTATGCGTATGGGTCACCGGACCCACGGGATTGAACAAATTTATGCGGTGCGTGTTGGATGGCGGAAGTCAATGCAGCTTTATAGCCCAATCTATAATAGATGACTTGGCCTACTATCACCGATATCGGTTATTGGGAAATTACTATTCCTGGACACATGGCACAGAGGACTCCCCTCGGATGAAATCTTGCCACCAGACCTTGGGACACTCTGGAACAATTGGGTATCAACCTTACCACATCTCGTACACTTGCGCATTCCTAGATGGATAGGCACATCAAAAGAAATTATGAATTTTCTGTAGTGGTTATTCTATGTATGTATTTTTAGTTTCGGTTCTTAAGTTTCCCCTATGGTTTTATCGAACTCTTTTCTTATCCTTGTATTATTGTTTCATTTGAAATAAAGAATTTTGAAATACTTATGATTTTGGAAATTTCAGTTTCCCTCATTGTCAGTAAGTCAATCTCTGGTGGTAAAGAGTCATGGTAACTGAATTCTCCTAGTGACACGTCTGAGATGAGCAAACATTTAAGGTACAAATCCCTTATTTTTCAAAATCGAATGATTTTGTATGTTCACAAATCTCTCAATTCTGTATTACTTTGAATGATGATAAATTTTAATGAAAGTTCTTGTTGACTCACCTTACAGGTAATTTCACATTTACCAAGATACATTATTATTGTACATAGGTCATACCGAAAGTCATGAGCAACTTTTTTTTGCATGCAACTTGGGAACAGCAGACAAAAGAGAGTACGGTGGTAGGTGGAACCAGCGGTTGTGTTAACGTTGAGTGTCTTGTGACGTCAATAGCTTGAATCACATGACCAGTCACTCCTAGCAAAATGCCCGACAACCATATGTCATTTTGCTAGCGTGCTGTCATTGAATTTTTTGTGAAAGAGGAAATCCCTACTGCAGAAATTCACCAGAGACTTCAGCATGCATATGGAAGTGTGTGCATGTGTGCAAGCAGTGTTCAAAGATGGGTGAAACATTTTAAAGATGGGAACACCAGCATCGAAGATGAGCCTCGGAGCGGTCGTCCTTGAACAGCCTCAACTGAATGCAACAAGGAAAGAGTGGATGAGATCACTGAATATAACAGGCATATGACTGTGGACACAATAGCCCAAAAACTTGGAATAGGGCACAGTGCAGTACAGGAGATGATTGAAAGCTTGGGCTATAGGAAAGTTTGTGCTCGTTGGGTCCTGCGGTTATTGACCGAAGACCGCAAAGGTCAGCAAAAAGCCATCACCTCAGAACTGCTGCAGAGATATTGACACGAAGGCGATGATTTTTTGCTCTGTATTTGTGACAGGTGACAAAAGCTGGTTTCACCATTTTGAGCCTGAAACAAAATGGCAGAGTATGGAATGGCATCATTTGTATTCTTCATCAAAAAGGAAGGTAAAGACAATGCCATCACCTGTGAAGGTGATGGGCACAGTCTTCTGGGATGCAGAGGGATTTATTCTGGCCGAATTCCTGGAACCTGGGCAGACCATCAATGCTGCTCGTTATGTCCAGACGCTGCACAAGCTCCATCATGCATTGTGAGATAAACGTCCGCGATGAAACATCATCATCCTGCATGACAACACTTGCCTCACATTAGAAGCAATTGCAAAGATGGGGTGGGAAGTTCTTCCACACCCCTCCTATAGCCCTGATCTGGCACCCTCCGACTACCATCTTTTCGGATTTGTGAAGGATCAGCTGCGTGGACAACATTTTGAGACAAGGGAGGCAGTTCACAAAGCAGTTCATCAGTGTCTTCGGATGGCTGGAACGGAATTTTACAGAAGGGGAATTTTCAAACTCCCAGAACGCTGGGAGAAATGTGTACAAAGAAGTGGCGATTATGTGGAGAAATAAAGAAAGGTCTGTAGACTGAGGTGGTGTATTCGGTTTTTCAATAATAAAGCATGTTACTTTACAAAAAATTGTTGCTCGTGTCTTTCAGTATGGCCCTCGTACATTAGAAAATTATGTCATTAATTTTACATACCTGTAAATGTTCCTCCAAAGCTAACTTGATGGCTTTTAAAGTCTCAGGGAGAAATTTGCACATTGTGGTTTTTGACATTCAGAACAAAAACTTTAGGCTTTTGAATCCATCTCCAGGGGCCAAGTAGCGTAGTGTAACTTCCAACTTCACTTTTGGTGGCACAGCGAGTCAACACATAGTATCCTGTTTTGCTATGTATGGATAAACTTTCTCAAGTAAAATTAAAATTTTCTGGTGTGATTCGCAACGTGTGTTTATAATCATCTGGTTTGTTAGATACAAGTTCATCCGATAGTGTTCTTGATAGACCAATCACTTCTCTCTTAGCAATCCAGTTTCTAACCCACCACCTTTGTTTTCTTCGGCACTTTCCAAAAATTTTAGTTTTTTCAGCAAGCAACAGCTCAGTTTTTATTACTTCAGCAATAGCACTGCCACCCCTTCCATCTTTGTACAGTGACTGAAATGATCACATGGAAACTCAACTCCAGGCATGTAATATGTTTCAAACATTCCAGTGTTTACATTGCAAAATGACTTACAAGCATGTAGGAAAGCTTGCAAATATGCCACTCCGAAGCGTGGTCATGGCTTTCAAAAATGGCACATTTTCATGCCTCAGGATTCTGCCGTGGCACCACACTAGTATAACACAGTTTTATGGACTGACTCGACTGTAACCTTAGGTTGGATTTGGCAAGACCTGAATAGATGGAAGACATTTGTATGCAACCGTGTAACCGAAATACAGACTTATACGACACCCTCACAATGGAGAAACTGTCCAGAGAAAGATATTCCAGCTGACATTCTTTCAAGAGGGGTCACTGCAGACCAATTGGAGACATTGGAGATATGGTGGAATGGACCTTCATGGCTTGTCCAACATCCAAAGTATTGGCCCCAGGAAGCACACATGTTAGACGTCTCACTACCTGAGTCAAAAGGATCGACCCACCACATCCTTTCTGTTGAATTCCCGCCAACGCTGCTGCACCCTACAAAATACAGTTCCTATTGGAAACTACTCCATGTCAGCGCCTGGATTTTCCGCTTCAGGCAAATCGCCCTCTGAAGAGAATGACCTTACAGTGAATTGGTGGCTTCAGAGCTGCAGGCAGCGCTGTCTTACTGGATACAAATTGTGCAAAGAGAATGCTTCCCCCAGGAAATGAAAACACTTCATGAGAACTTGCCATTGCCAGACGGCTCTTAAGATAGCATGATTTAACCCCTTTTTGGAAGAAGGAGTTATCTGCCTTGGCAGTCGACTACAGTTAGCAGAACCCTCCAGGGAACGACACCCGCTACTCCTTGACAGTCGACATCACTTCAGACAGACAGAAACTGAGGACTGATAGGGGAGTTTTTTGTGTGGCAGTGTGTGACTAGCAGTGTACTGTGAGGGCAGAGAGAAGAGAGTTCTTGTGTGCAGAGTGGGCGGTTCTACATTCAGGTGAGATAGTAATAAGGTAACGTCACAAGCAGACCCCCTCGAGGTCTTGTTCACGACAGCAGTTCTGCACCATGGGTACATGAGATATATTTCATAGAGTGTCAGACACAGGTTGAATTGGCTGAAAAAGATTGGTGGCAATTTGTTTTACAACTTTTTCTGTGCATGGACAAGATAGCTTGTTTAGTAGTCACAGTAGCATATAATCTGAGATAAAAATTAACTCACTCCTGAAATGGAGTCTGTGAAATTTTTCTCTGAAACCAAGGACCACATTGACTGAAAAGGGTTCACAATTGCTGCGTCAACATGTGTCCTATGAATATCAAATTAATTTTCTGATAAGAGGTTCTTCCATATACAGTGAAACCCCTTTATGGTGTCTTCCTGGAAACCACAATTTATTAACCATATAATAGAGAAACGCTGTAAATTAGCAGTGCTGAACTTGTGCATCATGAATAGGCAAAACCATCATAATACTCATTGCGTTTAGTATTCACTTAACTTCTGTATCATAGGCACAAGAATAAAGAACATTAGATAATAAGACCACAAATCTCTGTACAATAAACACAACAATGCTGCGTGAGGTTGTGAGTGCACACATGCTGGTTGCAGGTAGTGTTAATTCTGCTGATGGGTGCATCTGCCAGTGATAATCTCTGTTCTTTTCTTCGTGGAAAATGTTTATTTAGAAGAGCTTCTTTCAGCCTGTGCTTTTTTAATGCTGGATGTTGTAATTGGATTGTGAGTGCATGGAATGGAGCCCCTGGTAATGTCACCATATTAATTGCAAAAGGACCACAGATAAATATTACGGAACTGAAAGAACTTTACAATTCATTAATTTACTGTACAAGTACAGCAACCATGAACAATAAAAAGTTATAGATCCTTTATGACATGCTGTACACCTAATGACTTTCTAGATGGGCTCTGCATGTACTTTCACTTTCTCCATATGCCTCACACTAACAATTTTTTCCCATTTTTTGAAATTCTCGTTCATTTTGAACCATGCTCTACTCAGCTGGTTCATGTGTGTTGCATCCTGCCATTCCTTAACCCCATCCCCACAGGCATTATGCTGATGTCTTTACCATTATTTCTACATATGTAGACCACGTTACCTTCCTTCCCTCTCCTGATGTCTCGGAAGGAAGTAGGTGTGTCTGTGCAGTCTGAAGGACTGCGTAGTCGTGAGAGGTCACTTACCGCCACCCCAAAGGACTGGAACTGAAATTCTGTTTCGGACTTTGTATTTCTAAAGTTATGTTTGGGCAAAGCCTGTCTGGCTGCTAAGGGTAAGGCTGCCCGCAGTCGCAGTGGAATATTTTTGATTCCAGTGCAGTTGTGACTGTTACTTTTTTTTTTTGGTGGTATTATTATTATTATTCATTTTGCTGAATTTTTGCTGTAACCTGTTCTTTGGCTTTAATGAGGCTAGTGCAAATGGGGCAGTTTAGTTTTCTATTTGTTACGACTGTCTATAACATGTGATTACTTGGGCAATCGCTGCTTTGGGTTATTGTGCCTTGCCCTTTTGGGTTTTATGCCTTGCTTATTTATTTCTGTATATTGTCTGTGAGTTTCCTTTTTGTTATGTTTGCTATTAAATATTGTTATTGTTTGTTTTGAAAGCCTCCATATATGTTATCTCCTCCGTAAATGCTTGGATACCCCATGAACCCCCCCTGGGGAGCTTGCAAACACGACAACAGAGCCAGAGACCAGGGCTGCTCTTCCCAACTTCTATCTTATGAAGTGCTAGTAGGGGATAGTACGAGAGAATATGAGTTGAGAGAGAGAGAAGGGGAGGGGCTGTTAAATTTAATGTCACAGAATGATTGATATGTAACTGGATGACAATCTTCAGTACCTCTTCCTCAAAATTGTGACATTGACCAGTATTTTCTCTGTGTGTTTTTGTTGAAACTATTCTATTAACATGTTTTCTCTATCTTTATATGGGGAATACTTGATTTCTTTGGTCATCTTTGCTTTATCTGCACTTCTCAAATGCCTCTAACAGTGTACCCTCTCTAACCCATTTGGGTTAGGATGGTTATTTAAGAGTGCTTTCAATATCAAGGCTTTAGGCGACAGAGGGTATCGCATGGTCAGCACAACGAATCCCCGTGGCCGTTAATTTCTGTTTCCTAGACCGGAGCTGCTACTTTTCCTTTCAAGTAGCTACTCAGTCGTCCTCACGAGCCTGAGTGGACCCCATTCCAGACCCACTACTTCTCAGAACATCTGGTAGCTCCGGGAATCGAACCCAGGCCATCTGGATCTGTAGCCAGGAACTCTGACCCCTAGAGCACCTCACCGACAAGCGGTGGTCGCTTGGTTGGTATAGTTCGCTTGCGGACTAAAGCCAAGGAGTTTGCTTTTTGTTTTTTCAGTATCAAGACTATAGCAGTGGATAATGGAATGATTGATCAGTGATGAATTGGAAGGAAACAGTCTTGGCCTGATTGGGATACTATTCCAGCATTTTCCTGGAGGGACTGAGGAAGGGCATGATAAAAACTTGGTCTTGATAGCTAATGCCCTGTCTGAGATTCAGATGGACCATCTGCCTTTTAGTTCTGTTGCTAACTGTAGATCAGTCTGTTCTGTTAACCCATTGGTGTTAAGGTTTTTGTATAGTTAAATATACTGTGGATGGGATTATTTCTGAAAAATCCAGCAGATGACATAGAAAATATTTCTCTGTCATCACGTTGCTCCATAGGTACTACTATTGTAGATGTGTGTTAATGAGTCATTCTGTTATGAATACAGAGACTGAACATCGCGTTCCATCTCAGAGGTAGCGCCAAAATTATATACTAATTGAGAAGAGGGAATAGTTACGTGAGGCAGTCCTTGGTCATCCAGGAATTATATAGAACTCCTCCCTAGGCTGAAACCAGGGGATTAAATGTGATGGAGTTGAATGAAGATGTGGGCTCCTCAAATTGTTGTGTCAGATCTCTTCCTTTCATAATTTAATTTTTTCCCACTTTATGACTTCTTAATTTTATGTAGAAAGACAGCCGTCCCTTTGATGCTGTCCATACATTTGATTCCAGTCGTCTGGTACAGTTCAGGAGGTACAAGAATTTGAGATGCTCACTCATTCATTGGAACTATGATCAGTGGTTGAACACAAGATGTTGAGACCACGCCCTTCATAACGCTCTGAAAGAAAATTGAACAGCTGTAAACAGAAATTCAGTAAAATTTTCTGCATAGCAGTCAATTTTTTAAAGAGAACTTCACCTTAATGATTTCCTCCCCTGCTCCCCGTGAGATAACATATATTTTAGTATTTTTTGTACCATTTAATATTGAAGGTCAACTAATATGGATATATTTAATGTGTAAATTGGTACATGCCATAATTTTACTTAATAATTTCAAATTCATGGTAGTTTTTCTAATTCTGTTCAGGCATTTTTAAGTTGTGAATTACTGTTGTTGGAAATATGTGGTCTAACACAAATTGAAAGTGAATGATATGATAATATTAACCATATGTAAAACACAAAAAAAAAATCTATTTGGTGGTTTCATTAATAATAGTTTCTTTGCAGAGAAAAGAAGCGTGAGAAAGAGAGAGATGAGCTGTGGAAGAGACTGTCAGAGCTTGAAGTGAATAACAAAGTAAAAAAGAAATAACCCAAATAAAACTGACCACGTGATATATCTAAATGAAAAAGTCATAGAACTTTATTTGCTGTTATATTTGTTGTGTGATGAAAAGTGCGATTGTCCGGACCCGAGGATCTTAAAGTGATCATATAAAAGTTACTTGGTCGAGATAATCTGTTTGAAGCAACAAAAACAGTGAGAGAAGAATGGGGTAACGCAGCTGCCTCCGTGGTGCTGAACCAGGATTACAAGGGTCAGATTGTTTCACTTCTTGAACTTGCAGACGGAATGAACCTTGTCAGTGATTCAGTGGATCGGGGCGGAAAGGAAGACATCCCTGGTGGTATCGTTGTTCACCTGTAAATGTACCTCCAAAACCCAGTAATTCTTAGCAGGTAAAACTGAGTATCAATGTGCATACACCAAGTGCTACCATTCTGCACAAATTGTTGGCATTTCCACCGACAGAAATCTTAAATAACATTAACATATATTATTATGAAATACTGTATAGTGTATACTTATTTGACGTAAACCGCTGCCAAAAATAATAAAAAAGATATGGGCAACAAAAATTACCATGTATTTTAAGATTTCATTTGGCTGTTTATATAGTCAAGTCATAAATAAATATGATTGATATTAACTCACTAGTTGCTTCAAATTTTTAGTTAGGACTCATCTGAACCATCCTGTACTGGATGCAATCATTGAATCATCCCCATATGCACTAACTAGCATAGTTTTATCAGTGCTTATTCTGCTGCAAGCGTGGGAGCTTTCAGATGTTCACTTTGAAAATGAACTGTGGGTAGGTTGTTTTCAGGTTAGGTCACCCTCTTATATTAATTTATTTACTTGTTATCCTTGCATCATGTTGTATAAGGGTATATGGTACCATTTGTATTGGTGTCTTGGCATAAAGCAGTTATTGTCAAAATTATCTGTCATTGAGCCATTTTGATCTCAGAGTATTTATGCTTAAGGTGCTATCGAGTGTCATCATTATACGTTCATATCATGAATGTATTGTAATATTAAAATGCAATGAGCACAGCATACCACCAGTGAACTAAAGGTAAGGTATGTGGTTTTTCGGTTGTGACGAGTGTAAATTGTGAGTGATTGGATGGATAGATATTTGTATTGTGTACAAAGTATAACAGACTAAACAGAAGGATTGGAAAATGTGTCTTAGTCTTCAGGTGAGCTGTCATTCATTGTTTTTGAATGTAGAGAATGTTATTAATGTTAGGGTCAATTCATCATCAAGAAAAGATAATCATCAGCCCAATTTCTAATAAAGGTGCATGATATTAAATTGGCCAAAAGGTTCATTATTTTTTTAATTGTTTCATTTTTGGTCCGTTACACTATCAATCACAAAGTTAATAAAAAGTCCGTCGAGTGTAACTATTTATAGATCACTTCTTTATCACTTCTGCCTTACATGTTTCGGTTTAATAAAACCATCATCAGAGGCACATAGTACAAGCATGAAAACACTGCCGTTGTTTAAGATGTACACAGTTATGTTTGCTGCGTGAACGCTGCTACAATACGTCGACGTACACAACACGCAGCACATAAGAAACATCTAACCATAAGCCACATATCCTCAAGCTGACATCTCCCATCTTCGGGACGAATTAACAAGGAGGAGCTTAACATTTTACTTCAAATGTTTTAAATTTTAAATATTTTAACATTGGCGTTTTAATTTGAGGGCAGTTTCGGATGAATGTGAGAATTGAACGTGCATTCAACAATCCTAACAAGCGTTGTGCTTTTACACGTCGACGTATTGTAGCAGCGTTCACGCAGCAAACATAACTGTGTACATCTTAAACAACGGCAGTGTTTTCATGCTTGTACTATGTGCCTCTGATGATGGTTTTATTAAACCGAAACATGTAAGGCAGAAGTGATAAAGAAGTGACCTATAAATNAATAGTCACACTGGACGGTGTTATTTTTGTCTTTGTAATTGTTAGTGTGACGGGGCAGGATGAAAGAAATCAAATTGATTAATAACATTTTATCAGTTTAATAATTTATTATTATTTTATTATTACTATTACTGTTATTATTGATGAAGTTACTACTGTTGTATAAAATGGTATTGTGTACCCTTATAGTGATGTCACTGTGATTACACTATGTGTATATTACATTGGCTTTGAAACCAGAAATGTTACAAAGTGATTTATTTTAACTCTATCAGCATTGCTACTATGTTACATCAGTTTTTGTAATTTCTTCTTCATATTGTGCATAACAGAGAATCAGCAGTGTTGCATCTAAACTATTTCTGGTGAAGAAATCAGTCACCTTTTGGGTCAGTATTGGGGAACGAAAGGACTAATCATATTTACAGTGTTATACTGGAAGGGAGCTAATGGGTGATTTGGTTATACAGAGTTCAAAGTTGATTTGTAAGCCAAGCTTACTATAACTTTCCAGTGGTGCACCATAGCTTACATTATTTGTTTTATTTTATCTGTTAACTAAAAAGTATTTAGGCACAAACTTTGCAGCTATAGAACAGTTCAGTTTTACATGTTTTTAGTACATGACACCAGTCAAGATTCTATGTACATCATTATCTGAACAGAATTATATTTAGTTGATGTGTGTTAACTGATTTTTCACTTATCTAATCACAAGGTTTAAACGGTCCTGACTGCCTTATTAAGTAGAAGATCGGTGCCCAAGTCAATGCTAAGACAGTTGCAGACCACGTAGTTATGATGTCCTCCCATTACTGGCATTTTATTGTTCCCAGTGGTGTATGGGCAAAAGCTCAACATGTAAAAAGTATTATGTCATACTTATATTCAAAATGTCAAGGAAGAATGGAAAATGGTACGCATTGTGAGAATCTGATAATGATAACAGAAAAATAAGCTGTTGAAAATGGTTGTCATTCATAACAACACAGAAGGATTAAGTTTGTTTACATGTCTTTCCCCCACCCTGCCCCCTTCTGGCCCCTCCTCCAAATTTTCCTTCAACAGTGGACATTAACTCTGTTTTTGGAGTTGCAAATCAAGTCCATTATAACTTACATTCATCATTACAAGTTTAATCCTGCCTTGCCTTTCTGTTCCCAGAGATCATGTAGTGTTGTTTTGCGTGTAAATAATGTGCATTGATTAAACAACTTTTGGTTTCTCCCCTTACAAAATAACTGAAAACAAAGTAAAAATGGAGTATGTCTTTTATAGGAATCTGAAGTACCAAGAAAAATAATAATATGTATAGCTGCATTCAAACCAAATTTTAAACAATAAAGAGCTACAATTTGTGCTGGAAGTGCCATCTTTTTTCTCAGTCCCTAAAAGTTTTGTCATTAATCATTATAGGGGTAAAACGTGTGAGTTGCTTTCACTGAAGGATAGACTTTATTCTATACTATTATTTTAGAGTTCTCATACTGTGACTGGCATATTGCTAGATTCTCCAGGACATTTAAATGTAAGAAACAATATTTGCAGTCATATAAAAACAGATATATGTGCCTGTGATTACATTTAAAATTACCCTGCTAATATTGTTTAGCAGATAGTTGAACCATGATGTGGGTATATGCAGTGAATGATGCAAGATTTAATTGAGTGAAGAAAAATGTTATGTGCCTTCTTTATTTCCTTCTTCATATTATTAATATTTGTGCTAACTGTAGTTATTAGGAAGACAACAAAAGATTCAGACAGAATATTCAAATTTTCATTTTCTTATAGTTACTGAGAGAATTTGGGAACTGTATTCATCTTAAGTAGCACTTATCATAATAGGGCATTGTGTCAAAATATGGTTAATTATCTTCAATTAAAGTCTTCAGTGACTGCATCAATCACTCATCCTGGTTGTTAAAAATCTTAAGTAGTTTTGAGAATTCTTTTACATTTATTCTCCCTCTCATGGATTTTCTGGCCTCCCATGCATGTTTTACTGTAATATATTTACATCCTACTAAAAACATGGGTTATTTTATTTCTCCTCTCAAAATATGAATTGCTGATTACGTCTCCACAATGGCGTTTCCATCTGCTATGGCTTGGCATCAGGAGGCAAAGGTTGGTGTTGATTGCAGAACTTAAGGAAATAAATATGTCAGAAGAGTTTAATTTCTTTTCACAGAGTATGGTATAGATTTTTATTTTCATGGAACCCATAAGAAATTTCACCTCATGACAGAAACTCTTTGGCAACTACTCTGAAAATATGTTTCCAGTGGGATTCAAAGGGAGAACATAGCACTGAAATAATCTTGAAGATGCTAGAGGAAAAGTGAAATGAAAAGTTGAACGTTTGTAGTGAAAGAGATTGCTTGTATCATCCTGTTCTTGAATTCCTTCCTCATTTGCCATGTACTTAGAAGTGTATTTGTTACACTGATATGTCTTTTCTTTAAATAAAAACTACTCAGCTTTCCTACTTGCATATATTTTTTATTATTTTCTGGTTATTTTGGGCAGTGTAGAGTCATTCAACTTTTGCAGTCTTCTTGGCAAGTGTGGATAATATTCTTTATAGAATACCAGAAACAGCCATATAACATTATTATGAGACAAATATATTGATACTGTTCTATTTGGTTTTAGGGTGTTATTTTTCTGCTACACTGGCATAGGCATATTTACTCTATATTCTTCCATAAAATCATTTTTGAAACACCATATTATTATTTAGTTCAGTGATAATGAGTTTCAAGGAGAGAAGGTTATATATTTTAAAACAAAATCAATGTAGGTTTGATTTTATACATAAAGTAAAATCAGAAAGTAAGATTAAGTTAATATCTAGTGATAAAACACACTGTGAAAGGACACAGCTTCTGTGACTTGTTACTGCATGCCCAGACATGCATACAAGTTGTTCCATTTTTTACATTCGTGTGGATAGCATTAGAGTGTCTTGTGAGGATTTAATAATGCCCAAGTATACAGAAGAATGTGTGGATTCAGTTTTGTGGAAAGATTGGGAAAGTGTGAGCTAAACATGAGAAGTGTAATAGTTCCATTGTTTTAAAGAGGGATGAAAGTCATGAAAGTGTCTTGGATGCCATTCAACTGGTCATTCCACAGCATAATTTAAAGTGAAGTCAAGAATAGTGACAATTTGTGATGTGGCTGAAGAGGTATACATTTCTTATGGCCCATATTATGCTATTTTAACCAAGGATGAGGGATTTTGCAGCCATGTTCATTTGCTGACACTAGTAGAACAGTAACACAGCTAGTCTATGGATTCTGACTTTGTTGAGTGTAGGAACTGATGAAAATTCGCCACACCCCCAAAATAATTATTATGAAAGGTAATGAATCGTGGGTTTGCAGTTAATCCTAAAACTAAGGACCAATCACTGTAAGGGAAAATACTCATATTCAACCTGACCAGGAGGGAAAGCCATTGATAAAAAAAGCAAAGGCATGTTTCATGAGGTCAGACCTTTAACTACGTAGGTCGTACTGAAAGTCATGACCAACTTTCTTTGCATGCAACCTGGGAACAGCAGACGAAAGAGAGCACGGTGGTAGGTGTTGTGTTAACCTTGAGTGTCTTGTGACGTCAATAGCTTGCATTACGAGACTAGTATCACTCCTAACAAAATGGCCGACAACCATATGTCGTTTCACCATCGTGC